TGACACGTGGCACAGCGGACACACGCAGGAAGATTGGAGGACCATGGGAGGCGACTCGCCCTTTCCGCTGGGGGGCTGAAAGGGCTGACGGCGTGACGACCAGACGACCTGACGACCAACGACCAAGCTTCTGACAGGTACACATATTATGCAACATCTGCCGAATAGAGTGACACCAGTACTACCTACTCCCGCATGGCTGCATTGTTAAGCTGACTAAGCAGCGACCAAAGCAGACCACCGGAGGGAAGACACAGCATGGAGATTTCCGGAACGACGCGTAAGGCTTTCCTCCTTGAGTGCGACGGCATATTCCGCATCAAGCTGAGGGATGCAGCATACCCGACGGTTGAAGACGGAGATCACGGACACGCGTACCACACTGGGAGGCGAGGCAAGATTCCGCTACAGTGTTGGAAGGGGCAACCGTGATCATCCACATGTACCATGGCTGATACGTAGTGTTAATAGTGTTCTATTAGTGATTGTCACTGGGCAGTATGTAAATGAAAGTGAAGTGATTACACGTAAGCATTAAGCATCTCTGTACGAATAGCATTTTGATAATATTGCGTCATATAGAGTGCTCTTGTGTAAATTGTGTCTATTATGTAAAGTTAAAAAGTATTTATCCTGTTAAATCATAGCGTTATGTTAATACATTGTTACTATGTGATGTCATTGTTTAGCTTATCTAGAAATTGTAATTTGAGTTCACTTCGAGTCCGCCGTATCAAGTAGCATGTTATTGTTAATCCAAAACGCCATGTAAGCATTATGAGTAACTGACTGTATGAGAATTTATTGTACTTATCTACCTGTTATGATTTATGAAATGTTTGTAATTCTGTATTCGGTTTTGATTGTTAAAAAAATGCCATTTTTTGTATAAGGGGGGGAGTGATGTAGGGACACACTGTTGACGCTGTACTTTTGTGTTCCCAAGCGCGTACGTGCGCTGGCGTCGCACGGTAGTCGTCTCCCCGCAACCGAACTGGTAGGTCGTCATTTTTAAGTATATATCATGTATCTGGTACCAGAATTATATATCTCCAAATAAAATGAAGTGCATCATTTTATCCACCTCGACAAAATACATAGAACCCCCACAGTATATTTAAAAGGAGATATGTCCATAAAAAATAATTTAAACTTTAATAGCTGTGATTCAAAAGTATTGATTTTAAAATAAATCACAATTAACTTCGCAAAAGAAATAATCGACTTGTAGTTTAATCGTACATTCGCATAAGCAGACATTTGAAAATGACTGTCGTCTTAGCCCCCTTACGCACTAGCGGTCAACCGCACGGCGAGGCGCTACCTGCAGTTAACCGCTTTTCCAATTTAATATGCAACCGCTATGGCAACCGGGTCTTTCGATACGAACCGCCTAGACGGTCATCCGCTAGTGCGTAAGTGGGCTTAAACATTTGATCACAACAATTTTTAACTCTATTTTCTTCCACAGAACTCCTTCCGAGTCCACCAGAAGACGTGGAAGTGGATCCTCTAAATGAAAAGCAATTAAACGTATCCTGGAGCCCTCCAGTAGAGAACACAGACTCAGTCATAGAATATGTAGTAAACGTGACCACACTGCGGTCCTTTGACGCCCATTTAATAGACCCATCAGAGAGCTCCATCAAAAACAATGACACTATGAAGACAGTTCTGCCTATGACGTATAAAGTGCCTCCAAATAAAACGTACTTTGTGGTCAACGATCTGCTGCCGTTCACGATGTATGAGATCACGGTGACGTCATACAATATCCATGGATCCAGCTTACCTAGTTATGCCATCAGGTAAGTGATGATGTGTCTTAGCTTTCAAAATAGGTGGAATTTGGTTTTTGTTTACAATTGATTAGAGTGCCATTACTGTCTATTAGTTCTTTTGTTCTAGTTTCATCCCTATTATATAAATTTATTAGTATTATTCCTATAGTCCCAATCGTCATATTTTTCTATCGCAGTGTATTTAAATTAGTACCTACTTTATTTAACCCTTAACAACCCACAAGTGTCTCGCGGACACATTTTTGCGTTTATGTTTTCATAAAAACTAAAGTTTTTATTTTTATAAATCGGCCTTTTATCTAATTTATCGCCAATGTTTTACGAATCTAAATGTGCAATGAAAATATTTGTAACGTGAATAATTTATTACTTTTGGTCAATAAACGAAAATAGTACTTCATCAACCCAGAAGTGTCCAACAGACACAATATCATTTTATTTGATTCAAGTGTGAAGGTAGATTGTTTTTATTTACATTAACTTATAATCTTATGGTGTCGGGTGGGCAATAGCGGCTGCTGGACCTTTGTTTGTGTTATAATCATAGTTTTTGTAATCGTATCACGTATCAGTAATCAGAAACTCTTGTCAAAATGTAGTCATTTTATAATTCGTTTTTATTCAATGATATCGCTAAACGGCAACTAATACAAAGTTAAATTCAGCGTGCCTTTGTTGAAAGTGACGATGAAAACATTTTTGTCCATGAGTGCGATAGTGATGATGAGAATTTTGCTGTTGACAGCTGTTCTGATAGTGAAAGTAATGTCACAGAACCAGCATCTAAAAACGATGATGAACAATTATGGAATAACAGGGATGATGATTACAAGAATACGTCTCAATTTACACTTATATAGGAAGAGATAACAACTTGGAAATCAGAACCTAACAGGTAAAATCGAATGCCTCGACACAACATAATTCGCGGTGGTATCCATAAGGTGATTCTTCCAACTCCGGTCCAAATTATTATAGATCCGATAGACAGTTTCTGCCTTTTGTTCGACGATCACGTATTACAAATAATAGTGAAATATACCAATACTGAAGGGCTTAGAGTTTTACAAAATCGATGGAAATCAACAGATATAATATCGAAATGCAAGTCTCCGGGGTCTTTTATTGACTATAAGCGTCAATAAACAGAGAGGTGTAGATTTTAGAGAATACTGGTACCCTATCTTTGGCAATCCAATATATCAAGCTATAATGGAAAAAGATAGAAGTTTTGTTATATTTTCCCTTCAAAATTATCAAGTGCTTCTAAAAAGTGTTGTGCTGAATACAAACGCAATACATGCACTGAATATTCTGAAAAAAAATTGTAATATAAGTATAAGTAAATAAGTGTAAATACACATTACTGAAATACATTATACTGTCTTTTTCATTCAAAATATCTTTTTTTTCTTTCATTATACCTTACATTTATAAAATGAGTCTGTTGGACACTACTGGTCAGTTACGTCACAAAAGCGTTCTGGATAGTTAAGGGTTAAAACAAATCCCAGAAAATCACGAAAAATCAATCCTTTGTTTTCATGACTTCATTATATTTGCCTATGATTGAAAAATTCATAAGCTTTTAGTTGGAATTGTATTGTATTATTACAATACCTACCTACTATTAAATAAAGCCACCCTTTTATATAAACCACTTTGAAAATTGGTATTAACGAGAATCGATAACAAATTCCTATCAAATCTGAACCAGAGCCAAATGGAAGACATTTAAACAGAATTTTATAGTTAGATATATATTTTAAACATCATCAAGTATTTCATCAGAATTGTAAACTACAATTTACTTAAATAATTTACGATACATTAATTATGAACGAAATATTGGGATTTGGGATGTCAAAGAAATATTGACGATTATTCGGTTTTCCGAAAAATTATCAATTAGGTAGTTAATTATGATTCTGAATGAAGTGGCCTGGACATTCGGACTGCACGATTCGCGCGGTGGCTGAGCAACCGGCTTCCGCGCAACGTGTCGCGGGTTCGATTCCCGCACGGAACAACTCTTGGTGTAATCCACAAATTGTTGTTTCTAGTCTGGGTGTCATGTGTATGTGAACTTATATGTTTGTAAACGCACACACGACACAGGAGAAAATATTAATGGGGCAACGTTTTAAAAAAAAATTATGACGCCCGCTCCGCTTCTCATGCATGAGAGTTCGGGTTCGAAACCTACCAACTGCAAGTACCAATGTCACACTCACACACAGTGACAGGCACCACAGACAAACGGTGAAGGAAAACATCTTGAGGAAACCTGGTTATAATTTCTAATTATAAGTTTGAAATCGCCAACCTGCGTTGACCAATCGTGATGAATAATGCTCAAACGTTCTCCGTGTGAGAGCAGGCCTTTAGTCAGCAGTGGCCACTTATAGGCTGTTAACGATGAAGATAAATTCTGGAATAATGTCTGGTATATGGCTTTTTTTACATGGGTGGTACAGTGTTTTAGTGCACCTCCTTGCGTGCACATGATTGCGTAAACTAAAATAGTTCTACCGGTGTTATAATAAAGCAGTGATTAACATAAACGCATTGCTGATTCCAAATTCCTTTTGTGCTTATCCTCATTTGTATATATGTTCTAGCAAATCTTTATTTTTCGTCAAAGAAATCCACTCTACTGCTGTAGATTATAAGATACAATTTCCATAGATGTATGTTACTGCTGTGTTCATTAACAAATCCTTACATCCAGGTCTCTTACCCTGACTCCTGGAAAGATGAAGTCTACGGATGTAGCGGCAGCCCCCAAGTTGCCAGATGTTCGTGGATGCTGCGTGGCTGCGGGAGTCAACCATTACGGTTGTGTCGACAAACTCTGTGACCCCACCAAGACCTTCGAAATTGCAGTAAGTTGGAGTCATCGAACATCTAAGTGTTGGAACTCATCAAGTTTAAAAATAATTGCACATTTTTTGAAATATTCTGAAAATATCGACCTTGAAAATGAGTCATAATAAAACCAGAGCTAAAAATCTAATGATTTTTGCACTTCCAAAATCAAAGTTTCAACATTCAAGAGACCACCGCGCAAATTCCAGAAAATAAAACAAAATCAAACTGCACTTCAACAAAAAAAATATCAAACAATCATCACAAATCACCATCAAAACCCAAAACTAATCCCCACTTTCATAATCACCATCACACTTACACATCATTTGTGACTAACGCACGATCACCCAAGAGGACCGTTTTTAACTCCTAGCTGCAGGTAACAGACTTGATGATCTGCGCTCCCTGGGCTGGTGTGACCTTCGGGTGCCTGGCCAATGGCATGGACCATACTCCGTGCTGTCGGTCTAAAGGTCTACCGGAGTCCTGTCTCCCGCTGTGCAGTGGGAACATCACCACTCTTGACTTCAATCACTTCAAGTGAGTATGCTATGATATCAGTGGCTTTAGTACGAATGTGTTTTACGTTTCGGCGCTCTGATTGGCCGATTCCGATTAACCAACCAATGAGCGCTGATCGTGCTCTCTTTTCGATTGAGTTAAACGTAAAACAAAGTCTTACTAAGCCCTTTTTTGTGAACTTGAGTGCCTTATCTAGTCTAAGTTATCTTAAAAATATTTTTTTTAAGTCGATTTAAAATCAATAAATCCACCCACACTCCAAAACACCAAATGCAGCCCCTACCTATGCAGCAGAAATTCCTTCGACCAAGATTAAATCAGAATATTCAGAACTACCTAGAACTAAATCAGCTAACTTCAAACTCCAACCACTATTGTCATTAGGAATGCGACAAAGTTCCACATAACATGTCGTCCGTACTCACTGATCTTAATTTTAAGCTCAATTAGTCAAACAAGTAATTGGATTAAAAATGTATACGTGAATTGAATTGGTCTTTAAGTTGGGTTGATTTAACCCTCAAAGTTGTTTGTACTGATTTCATTGTATATACATTACTTAATCGATTACCTCGTTGGGTATTTTTAACGTATACTATAAGTAATGTTGAAAGACGGGTATGGTCGGTATGGTGGCTGGGGAACCGGCTGCCGCACAACGTGCCGCGGGTGTAATAGGGTAGAAGCCTAATTTTTATTTAAATGTCCGTCTGGTAGATTATTTTAAATCATTAGACACATATTTTTTAATTTCTTATAGAAACAAATACTTTCGACGATATATTGATTTGAAATGTTGCGTGACGTCACTTCTATGTACATTTTATACGTAAAAATGGCGTTTTAGCCCCCACTCCTAAACTTTGATTCGTTTTATCTATAGTCAGAATTTTAATTAGATTCCAGATTTGACAATAGCTACTGTCATTTTGTGAAATAATGATACCACATATGATAGTGTAGTGATGCACACAAAAATCGATAAACAATCAGTGTGTGTGTTTTATAATAAATGTTACAGAAAGTGACAGGATAGCGATAGCGATGACGGCGACAATTTATAAAATAACTTATTACCATAATACATCTATCTGTTTCATTTGTCATGTTCCTTCATGATTACATTTTTTTATTTATTTCACACACAATTATAAAAGAAAAGTCTCAGATCGTTACTTAATCGTCAAAACTAAATTTTCGATTCAGAAATATTTAATTTCCTGATATACTTAGTTTACGAGAGTAAAATTATAAATGAGAAGAATCGATCCAGAAATATTGCATTTCCATATCGAATAATTTCGCAATGTCACTATTTAGTACTTGTCATAACGTTGCAACACTGAAATTGTCAATGGAATCGAATTAAAATTCCGAGTATAAGTATTATTTTATTATACAACAAAATAAAAAAATACGAGTCCAATATTTTTGCATTACCTAACTTACGGACTAATTAGTTTTTTAATTTTCATACCATGGCACCATGGCACACGGAGCAATTGGGTTACAGATTATAGAGTCGTAGCTGCGATTCCCGGTTTGAGCAAAATTTTGTTAGGATTATTTATGTCCGTTAAATGGCAATCGACTATCCTAGTTAATATAACAGGTGAAAGCCAAGTGTCACATTGTATATCATGAGCCGCTTACCAAATGGTTTAGCAAAAACAATTTGAATTAAAAAGATAAACATTAAAGCTTCAATTGCCTTCAGACTTTAAAACACTTCTCTGCTCAAGATCGGACTTAAAAGGAGTAATTTAAGTAAAAAGAGATTTACATAATCTCATAAACTTAGCTGTAATAAGATTGCTTAATAAATCATTTGAATAAAGAACTTATTTTTGGATTTAATGAGCATACCTTTAACTGTTTCTTTGGTCGTATTATATTTTTTATGGAACAATCCAATAAAAACATGAACGGATCACCTGATGGTGAGATCGGCATCACCCATACCGGCCTTTTGGAATTCAGGGATTGGTGAGATTGAGGAGGGGGTATAATTGACCTCCAGTAACTTAACGATTCTTTGGCGGCGGTTTTCTGTAAGGCAGTGGTATCACTCCGGTCAAGCCGGCCCATTCGTGCCGTAGCATGGTTCTCCCACAGTTATGATTGCAGGGCCGACTTTCGAATAAAAGGTACTAACTAAGTTGAACCTCTGAAAATATACTGTGAATCCATTTTTTTACATTTACTGTGATAGTCGACATAAATTATTGATTTAATTATCTAGCGATGTATGTTTCTGGATTCGCTACTTGGATTGTACAATTTATTGTCGTTTGAATCTGTTTATAATGGCTATAATCGTCTGTAACAATACAAGTATCTAAAAATGACAATATTTTTGTCCACTGGTGTTGTAGGTAACCATGATTGGTGCCAATTGTTTATCATCAGCTGTGATTGTGTGACTCACAAAAATGTCATAACTTGTTCTTCAACTTAAACTTTATGACATCGTCGCTCTAATCTAACTAAAATATGTCGCGGAGAACCTAACGGGTAACCGGGGCTCCGACTCGACGTGCAGGAGAAGGAACGGAGTGGTTTTTAGTCAGTAAGAGTCTGACACTCCCTCCCGCCTCACCCAGGTGGGAGAAGTCATTCGATGATTGTCCCCCCTTAAAAAAATATAACTAAAATACGAGTTTTACTGCACAACTTGAGTATTACTAAAATAATTTTTAAACTAAATTATATCTAAGTTGAGGCCACTAAAGTTCCATAATAACTTGGGCTATCGTGGTTGAAGTTTATTTGCAAGTGCTACCCGTATCCGAGTTATCCTTTACACTGTTGGACATAACTTTAAGAGAAGCCAGTTTGCATTTCACATTTATTGGCTACTCTTTGATAACTTGGTGTACCCTACTATTATTCCTGCGTTATAAAATGTTTTAGTAGCTACAAGTTATAAGAATTTTCTTTATAAAGTAAAATGTTCACTAAATAAATATAATTATGGCCGTACTTACCAATCACCCCTAAATTATCTCTTAACTCTTTAAGTATGGGAGAGCCATGCTGCACGAATGTGCCAGCTTGAACGGAGTGAACTCACGGTGAATTACCTATTATGAAACACAACCAACATTTTTTATGGGACAAGTCCGCCATAACCTCCCTCCTCATCCCTGTAAGCCAGAATCTATCTATAGTAAATACAAACATGAAAACACCGGTCGTTTGAAGTCTAGCGCGTCCCAGGAACATGAATAACTGTCTTGGTAGCAGCGAAATAAACACAACCAAAATCTACATTATAGTCGTCCGATGAATCAGCCCATAAGCATAAACAATCTGTGCCTACATAACTCACATTTTTGATGATAAATATCAAAACACCAAATGTTCTTAAGTGCAAAGCCACCTCAAGATACTTGCCTTTGTTCTCAATCTCAACACCAAAAATGGATACAAATACAAAATATTACTTATAAAAACCTCTCGCCTCTTGAAATATCTTGGAACCCCTAATAAAGTGCACTTACCTCGTTCAATTGACACAGCAAGGACCCTTAAATTTCTTTGAAGGTTCCTACTCCAGGGTTTCACGAAACAAGTCCATTTTTGAATCAAAAATATTCTGCACCGATCACCTTCAAAAAGGCCAGGTGTATTGTTGTGTGATTTAATTTATTAACAATGCTGTGTGAATCATTTTACTAATATGGAGTAAACGAAGTTGTAAAGTAGGATATAAATGAAACCTGTTTTTACCCTGAATGTCTTTATACTTCGCTGTAGGTATAAGATTTTTTTAAGATTCGGTCGCGATTCCTTTCATATGAATAATTTCAATACCTTTACTGAATTATAGTCTTTATATCAAGAGAACCTCTTCTATAACCCTTAAAATTTCCACCAGGTGCCTTCGCTACATGAACTCTTACACCAACTGCCTCCTCCGAGGCTACGGAGTCCTCCCTGGAGCTCCCTCGCGTCTGTACCTGACGAATATCGACACAGACTATGCTGTGGTGCACTGGTCGCCTCCTGCGGCCCTGGCTGATACCGTGCAGTATTATAATCTTCATTACAAGACTCTGCAGGCTGGAGATGAATACAGGGTTCTGGAAAAGGTAAGATAAGGCGAACACATTCAGTTAATCACTCTTTACAATGAAATGATAAAAGTGGAATATTAGAGGAATAATGTTTCTTGATTTAGAATTACATCAATTTTGTTCTTAAGAGCTACGAGCTACCTACTGATGAAGAGTTATAATCATTGTCTCAAGCATAATTAGAAAAATGTACTGCTTATATGTGACTGGCCTGTTCACTAAGTCACTTAAATTCGCCGCTCAATTCAACCATATTTACAATTTTATAAAGTACCAAAAATTGTCAATATGGTTTCTATTATGCCGTGTTTCTTTTTCTTCATCCCTTCTTTTTTTCGTTTAGGTACACTCACCGTATATCTTAGAGGACCTGGAGTCGAACATGGATTATGAAATCTATTTGGAAGCTGTAAACGAACACGGAGTGGGAGACGCTTCTCCAAGACTCATTTTTAGGACACAGAGTCAAGTAAGTCATCATCTCTTAACTAAGAGGTACTTAGCACCTAAACCAACCCCATAACTTCTCTTAGAAGTGTCACTTATGTGTCGTTAACTGTCACCTATCTTAGAAAATCAGGGGTTCTTTATAAATGAGTAGAGGGAACGGTCATTATTCTACCCAAAACTGAAAATATATTCTTTTGTATCTCAGGTAATAGAAGAAGAAGAAGAAGTAGCGAACTCATACAACGTGACAGCGTGTTGCGAGCGTGTCCAGCTGGCAGGCGTGTGTATGCCGCTGTGCTCGTATGACGCCAAGATGTCCGACCTGAGGATGCTCGCTCCGCTCTGTGCGCAGGACTTCCACAAGCTGCTGAGATGTGGTGCTGGAGGTAAGTAAACAAAGTGCTACTTATGCTGGTGACAATATTGCTAGAATTTTGTCTCTGGAAACTCTGACCGGTTACTTTCCACCATCGTTTAGAAATCCCTCTTATCTAAATAACTGCAATTGAATAGGTACCACTTTCTCAAATAAACATTTACTAGGTGGTGTCAATATTTTGACATGTTTAACCAAGAACCCGTAAGAGTAAGGGAATACGTATCAAATTGAATCTTATCGATTGAATTTGATAAATATGAGTTAGTTTCCTGTACATTCAAAAAAATTTTACATACCTTCAATATTTAAAGTTTATTTAAACCTCGGCCCATGTGCGTGCGCAGGCCGCAACCACGAGCAGTGCTGCGCGCGGCGCGGCGTGCCCGGCGCCTGCCGCGGCGTGTGCGCCGGCGCGTACAGCGGGGGGGTCAACTCCTGCGTGCCCTACATCGGGAACATCGTGCAGTGCTTCGAGGAAGGTAACATAGCATTCCAAAGTGTAGAAGAACGAGCAAGAAACTCCATAAGTTACTCTTATTCAATCATGTTCACAGTCGAAATATTTTGCAGTTGTTTAATGCACACATGAGTTAAATTTGTTTTAAAAAGCATTCCATAGCATAATATAACAACATTTAAAAGACTTAAAAGGAGAAACCACGACAGAAAACTAATTATCGTCTCGTCCCCCAGGTACCGGTCTTCTACCAGGTCCTCCAAGGGAACTGCATGCCCTGGTGAACTCCAACAGCGTGTTCCTGGACTGGAGCACTCCTCAGGACGGAGCCAACGCCACCTCGTACGTGGTCTACTGGCAGAAGATAGACAATAACTCGCAGCCCTACAGCTACAACACCATGCAGAGTACTTACAATGTAAGTGGTTTTTTGGTTGGAAATAACTTGCGTTCATGTCTTGAAAGATGTATTGTGGAACATCCACTTGTTCTGATGATGAGTCTCGATATAAATTGGCCCATCTTTAATATATTATTCTTAAACCCTTAATTGACGAGCATGTATGAAAAGACTGATGACTGTTAATGAAGCGAAAGAGGTATATGTAAGAATCGTAGCAATTGGCGTTCCATAGTATCTGCCTACATGGGAGACAGGCGTGAGATTATGTAATATGTACCGCGGGACATAGTTAATAAAAAAAGTTAAGTATTAAATGTTGATATTTTTCCATTATAATTACCACCATTATAACTATCTTCAAGGCCCGAGTGAATAGGTTGCTTATGCGTCGACGTCCTCCATCGTAGACCGAATCATCGTGCACCAATAGTGGTCAAACGATGGTCCCATCTAATATAAAGAAAAAAATAAACTACACACTACTTCTTAATGAAAGATCCAAGACTTTGAATACCAACAAAATAAGTACACTAATTTAAATACAATTCAAACTTACAATCCTAGTATTTCCACACGAAGTCGTAATATTCTTTAGCAACAGCAAATTGCAAGGATTCCAAGAATTACTCTCTCTGTACTGGGAGTGCAAGGAACTCCCCAAATCCCCGAGCAATTTTGAAATTGACAATCCTCAGCTACAGTTAAAAAATCGATAGAGATACTATAAAATATCTAGTAATCTAAAGTAGTAGGAGTAAAATGCAATTGCCTTTTCATTAGATCCAAAACTCATTTAACTTGACTGCCGGTATTCAAAACACAATAGAAATTAATGAAATGTGTGTCGAGTATATCGTTCCACAGCTTAATAGAAGTTATGACTGTCAAAAACATTATGATACATTTAAAATGTTTATTGCACCTCTGCTATCAAGGAATAAAACACACGGCCTATGAAATCGAAAAATGTCATCCTCACGTTTAAAAATGTCTACGATACTCCCGAAAATATTTGGTTCAAACTGCAAATTGATTTCAAAATCGTTTCAGTGGAGTAGCTTATAAGGAAGCTGTACTAATACCAAAAATTAATATCTAATACTAATAAGCTTACGATAAACAACTATATCGCAGACCGTTTCCAACCGGCCTATCTGGAAGTCATTGGGGGAGGCCTATGATCAGCAGTGGTGTCCTGTGCCTGATATGATGATGATAATGAAAGAACTATTGCTCTGTCGAACCTAGATCTTACATCAAAATATTTCCTGTCTACCTAAAACTTGACTTTGTACACCGTCGTTTAAGAATTTCCACAACTCGAACTGGCAATCCGGTAAAGGTAACTAAAAGCTAGGATTTCCAAAGCTCTTGTATTTCAGTTTAGTACGGCAACCCATTAAATTCTTCTGACCCACTAAACATCCGCCATTAGGATTCCAGTAGAACGTCCATTGAAATACACCTTTAGTGCTAACAATAGATTTCTTAGGTTTAGAACTAGGTCGTTATGCAATACTAGGTACCGTAGTTAGAGTTAGAACGACATATAACTTTAAAGTGTAAGACATTTCAAAACTTTACACTATTATGAGCTTTTGTGAGTATAGTTTTATGTGGTATTCATATATGAAGTTAAAAGATAAAAGACATGTGTCGGCGACATGTCAAGCGAAGCCTGCCGATGTCGACCGACATATTATAAGACGACAACGCGCACCTTATGTCCACAGCGACGTTGATGTTGCCAGATATGTCGACCAAAGTCCGGCAACGTCGCGCTACTTCACCCAACGTCGCTGGCCACTTGTGTCGCAAGACACTTGTCCCCTAGTTTATCCTTGGCTTTATGAAAGTGTCTTTACCATAAACGTAGTTTAAGACGAACTAAAGCTTGTGTTTTACCCATAAGCACCCCGTGCTAAATATTGCACACAAGTGCAACTCCTGTATGAGATAAATTGTAATTATAGTTTTTGTAAAACTCATTAAATTGAACCCTCCATTCATATAACACTAAAGACCAAATGCACAAACAATACTTTTCAGTTTCAAAGAAAGACTCAAGATAAATATTTACCCTATAGGTACCTTTTTTGATGACGGGCGGGAACCTTCAAAAGGCGCGCTTATCGGGGATAAAAGACTAGGGAGTGTGGGATTTTTACCTCACTAAAACTACCCCAGTGGCCACCCTCAACACCTGAATGAAGGCACCGGGTCTTCTAAAAGAAACCTGCTCCGGAGCCTCCACGGTGCAACGCCTGTTACGACACATCCCTAGAGAGACGGGTGTCTCCTTTAAGCCTTGTTGTGTACGGCGACAAGTGACCACTGTGCCACCGTCTTCCCTGAGATCACTGAAACCACCGAGACCGCCTAGAGTCCCCACTCTACGCACCCCTGGCACAAAGGTCCTGGCCAAAAAAAGTTGATGCAGGCGGGATATCGGTGTGTTAGGCGTCAAGGTGGTTACCTTCTCGACGCCTTCTACGAGCAGGATCGGCCCTCTCGCGATCCCCCATAGGTACCTACTACAAAATTTTTAACCCAATATTATTTTGTCCGTTAGAAACTTAACGTATCAGACACGTTAACCCACATCAATGACCTGGAGAAGAACAGCACCTACCACGTGTTCGTGGTCGCCGCCAACGTCTACGGAGAGTCACTGCCTTCTAGCATGCTACTCTTCAACGTGTCTGAGACTGGTGAGTGATTCCTCAACACCATTAAATGAGGAATTGTGTCTTTATTGTGATTAAAATAGGTCTGCAGACGAGCTGACGGATGACCTGATGGTAAAAACTCAGCGCCACCCACAGATACCCGAGGAGATTTAGGAATCGGAAGTATCTATTTGCTATCATTCTTCAGTGCAACGAAGTGATTCAGTTGATTGATTTTTATATGTGAACATAGGACGCTAGAAACTGACATAGGATTCTTTATTTCCTTTGATAGCGACAACTAGTAGGTCATAAGTATATGACTCGGGGTGTGGAGTTCGAAACATTATGTTCATAGCTTTTGTTACATTGTAAAAATAAAAAATCTATTTCATTATTTTTTTCTTCTTCCCAACAGAAGAGAAGGAGGTAGCAGGAATCCCGTCGCCACCTCACTCTCTATCCGTCTCCTCTCACTCGGCAACATGGCTGACTTTGACCTGGCAGCCTCCACAGTTCTCACAACCTGATGAGAAGATCTCATACACGTGAGTACAGCATTTGAAGAGCAAATGAATACCCGCAACACCTGTGGAGTTTCAAATGTTTTGGTGGCCTTTGGAGGGGGGATTAGGCTTTCAGTAACCTTTTAAGTCGTAGTATCACTCCGATTGGGTCAGCCAATTCAACAAGTAACATTTTGGCACCGTATTTGGTGAATTCCGATATCGTAAATCTCAATTACTCATTACTCAATTTAATGATCGTAGCCCCACACCTTGTCGGTGTTTAATAACATATTCCCAAATAAGAAAACAATATTTTACTACACAAAAGCAAACACTAATTCATAATGAATGAACATCCGCAAACCGTACCAAGCTTTTTCTTAAAAAAAGATAAACTCGATGTTTAAAGCGAGGGAAAAGTTTGAGTAAAACACTCAAAAGACTTAGTTTTGTTTTTTCCTCAACACTTAACTATACTGTGGAAATAATGCTAAAGCTAATAGTAGTGTTCTAACGTTTTTTTACTTTAATATTATACGGGAACTTTTCCTTGCTCGTCGGTGTTTTCCACCGTTTTATTTTTAGCTGGTGAGAGGCTCCAAACTTGGACAACCATCACTGATATTTTTCTTATTGTTCATCAAGAACTCTTTACAAAACATTGACTACCAAGTGTAAGGTCTTAGAATTTATTCCTTAACAGTTTTCGGATTACGCCGTCTCAGAATATGAAATAAAATAAAATACTGGCTTATTCAATCTCTAAACTGAGTCTTTCAAAAACCGGTTTCACCAATCAGCCCACCCCCACAACAAAAACACTTAACTTGAAAAATACTAACATATCACCAATATTTCAGATTATTCTACAAATCACCATCTCAATTAAGCCAGACCAACGTGACAAACATTACTACGACAGTGCCAGGACATACGCTGGAGAAGCTGGCACCAAACACCCAGTATGTCATCTGGGTGAAGGCCCATGCTACTGCTGGAGACTCACAACCCTCGGAGACGTTACTGGCCTGGACTGATCCAGCTTACCCTGCGTATGTTGAGGTGAGTCGAATAATGGATAATACTTATTTATTTATTTCAATTTGGGTAACCAACAATTGTATTACAAGGAATAACAATTCAGGATATGTCAATACAAAACCAATTATAGGATTTCACGGCTAGCAACAGTTTATCTTTATAGATAGAGGTTTTGCGAATGCAATACACATATATGTAGAAAAATAAGGATATCTATTCAGTAAATTTAAGGTTTAGTCGCCTATGCACCCTGGAACTGCTTGTGGAAAATGGATCGAGTCCTAAATCCTTGCACAATTTATTAAAATCCCTACTCACTCGTACAATAAGTGTGGGAGAGCCATGCTTCGGCACGAATGTGCCGGCTCGACCGGAGTGATACCACGGCCGAGCAGACAACCGATGTGAAGCAACGCTTGCGTTGTGTTTCGTCGTGTGAGTGAGGTTACCAGAGGCCCAATTACCTTCCCCTTCCCCAATCTCCCCAATCCCTGAATCCCCAGCGATCCTCAAACTCCTAATCCCTAAAAAGCCGGTGACGCACTTGTAACGCCTCTGGTGTTCCAGGTGTCCATGAGCGACGCCGATTGCTTACCATCAGGTGATCCGTCTACTCGTTTACCGGCTTATGCCATAAAAAAAAAACAATATAGGAGTTCTGCCTATAATTTGAGGAAGAAGTTGAGACAGCAATTGGTCGATTAAATCGAACTGACTTTTTCGGAAAATTAAACGGCAGCTTATGTAGAAGGTCTAAGCAATCGATCTCGTTATTCAAAATTTTGACAATAAACGCAACCGCTATTCGACGGCGATTTATAAGTAGTTGCAAATGAAATCTTTTGCATAGTTCTGTATAGTTATCCGATTGAAACAATATCTTTAGACGGAAGTCTTGGGGCATCCCACTGGGAATTGAAACCCAGCTTGGAACATAATCACTGACAACTACGGATGTCTTATATAAATTACTTCACTTAGCAATTACTCAAATGCGATATGTTTACATGATTGAGATTTAACAATCTAATGATGTAATCAAAGTCAAAAGTATTTATATCAATACCATAAACGACATTTAATCACTTTTTTGTGTTTTTGTTTGCGTCTTTTTATATTTAATCGAATGGCATCGCTCAAAATGTATATTTTGCATTTAATATGGACGTATACCTATCCTTATTATATTGTATTCTTGAAGTATAAACTACGAACTAAATATATTAAAAACAAAAGTCCAATAATACAATAGAATCTTAATAAATAACTTAATAAAAACAGACATATAAAGAAACGTATAAAAATAAAAAGAATAATAAACATTTAGATTTTAAAACATTGTTCTTAGAATTATTGAATGCAATATCTTACGGCAGGCGCGAGGCTTACTTCGCCTCGGCGCTGAGCATTTTAATGCAAATTGGCCCTTTTGAAGTGTTACAAGAAAATATCTGAATATAAAATCTTCAAAGGGCAATGGAAACTAAGGGTACTGATGCATTTATTTATGTATTGTATGCAATTGAAGTTATTTATCTGTAGCAGGAATTTTATAAAGTTCCATGATTGTTGACCTGACCTTGACCTTGAGTTTGATTGTTGCGTGGGGGGCTAAGTACGACTGGGTGCTTTTGGCTTTTCTAAAATTTCACACTGAAATTAAATATATATAGACATCCAACTTTAAAACATTTTGGAACTGAGCAAATAGCTTCACTTTTAATATATATTTTTTTGACGTTCAAAAGTGCCATTCTGGCCTAATTGAAATAAATGATTTTGACTTTGACTTTGACTTTGAACACTTTGGAACAACATAACATCACGCCATTTGTGTACTGCCACTCTTCACTATTTATGTTATGAGTCCCGTTTACCGGGCACAATTTCGTACTCCGTGCTACTAGTGGGATTTTTTAAGACCCAATAATACTTTGGTCGACCCGGAAATCGAAACTGAGATCCCTTGCCCGGCAGTCGCACTTGCGATCACTTAGCCAACGAGGCAGTATTACGAGAGAAAAATTCATAAAACGCTTAGCTTTTTTAGGAAATAGACTAAGGAGGCCTGGTTGACCTGCATCTCTGTCTACCCTTTCAGGAATTAAAGAGCATATGCTTATCAAAGATCATAGCCACAATTCCTGTACTGATCTAAAACACATCATATCCATAACCACCAGACTGTAATATTAAACACCAAAGCAATACAGTTCGTATTGCAATGCGGCTCAGCCGCCATCTTGAATGCGAAATGTATTTGTATTTAAATTGCAAGAACAGATTGCATTTCAAAATTAATATAGTATTTCAATTCGTAACTGAGATAATTGCTTTCATGGAATTTGTCCAATTAGTGAGACGTGGCTATTAAAATTGTAACGATTATAATTATGTACTCGTATTAAGCGCAGATGGGTGTTGTTTATTTGTTGCTATAAGCTTACTTACTCAGTATGTTTACAACGATTATTTCATTTGTGACTGACTGGATTTATGTGTTGCATTGTTCTCACATAATCGAACCAATAAAACTATGTAACTAGAGAATTGTATTGTGAACATGATTGAAAAAGAGTAACCTATGGAGTTTCTTACTCGTTCTTCTCCATAGGAATCTACGCCTTGGAATGAGCAACTAGCTTCACTTATAAATTTTTGTTGTTTGACGTTCAAAAGTGCCATCCTGGTCTAATTGAAATAAATGATTTTGACTTTGACTTTGACTTTGTGTTCGTTTGTAAACGGAGTTAACTCTCTTTATTGTACAATATTTTATGCAGGTGGAGTTTACTTTTAAGTGATTGTAACATTAAAGTATGTATCTATTGCATGGTAACCTAATATTTGATCTAGTGTGTACAATTGTTGGTGAACCAATAAATAGAACTCTGTAATACCAACGGAAGTAATTTTCATATATCTAGAAATTAAATGTTATTCTTTTCTGTAAGACAGGATCTGTTGACTCTGTTTCTTTATTTGTAATAAACACAAAAAGTCCTTATCAGATTTTTGTGTGAATTTCAAAAATAAATTGATATTTGACGAAAGGGAAGGAAATACCCAAATAGGGTATAGTTGTATCCAAAAAGCTACTCAGTTATTTTATAAAAGCTATAGAATTTTTAATGTAACCTGATTATAATTATATCATTCACGTCAATTATTTATTTTTTAACTTACTCGTTTACTTTAACTCCTCATTTATGTATACTTATTTTAATATTATCTTTGTCCAACAGCCCCCATCAGTGAACCCAGTGAACCTTGTAGTAGAAGGATCCAGTATGACCATCCTCTGCATCGCCATGGGAACACCCACACCGACCATCTCATTGTACATCTCTGGTAAGTACCTATTGTATTAGTAGGCACTGTAACTGGGTGATCAACTGTTAACCAGCAAAGCCTTGCAGGTTCAGTTCTGTATACGGTCATAATTAATAATCATGGTCCCATTTGGGCGCCATTTCTAGATAAACTAGTCCCATTTGGGCGCCAATAATAAAGTTTACTTGTAAATGATATACTAAAATACTATTAGATACAATCTAACATTTTATTTTACTATTTCTTTATTCATATTTCATAACTAAAAGCAATAAAGCTTATTTTACAAAACCCTAATTGAATATTACTAAGAAATGTCTAGAACGTTAGACAAGACCTAGTAACAAGAAAACTATAAGACCTAAGTCAGAAGGTACATTGATTTGTTTATACCTATTGAAGCTAACTGCTATTTATTTAGAACAGTAAACTATAGTTTCGTCCGAAAATACATTTGAAAACAAAAATGTAATCTTATTCAAGTATAAATTATAGAATTTCCATAATTTGTATCATTCATTTGTTCAGCAAAACAACGTTTTAAACTTCATTTTGTACCAAGACAATTTCTTTCAATTAATGACAGCGTCCTAATTCGTATGCGTTGAAGTAGTAATTTGCCTTCTTACCTAATTTCTGCACTGTTTCTCGGAACTTCTGTCAATAATTCCTACCGTGGTTATAAGAGAACGTCAGATCTTACCCCCAGGGGCTGCGACCAATCGTTTTCCAATACAACGCCGCTTTATGTTGATTGGCTTCGTCTAAACCTTGGATTTGATTGATTTAGAAAACAATCGCCTTGAGACATTAATTTAAAATTTATTTCATATGATATATTATGAACGATTACTCTTATTGAAACGTTTATAAAGTTTATCAAATTCTGTTATTTCACATACACATACCACTCAGACCCAGAACATCAATTTGAGGATATTTTTTCCATGCGGGAATCGAATCCATGACACGTTATGCAGCAACAAACTGCCTAGCCACTGTGCTTACCGTGCAATCAAAATAGCACCTAGTTAATTACAAAATACTATTACAAATTGCAACGCTATCCCTAATTAAAAATATATCTTAAATTTGAACTTCAGTAATTATAGAAATCTACCTTCTCCACCAGGTCGCCTCGTCCGTCAAGAAGTGACACGTCACATGGTAACTGTGATCCACAACGTGACTAGAGACATGGATCAAATATCCTGCTACGCCGACAATGGATACGGCACTCCCATGCAAGCCTCTAGAAAGATCAACATCTCACGTAAGTCACAATCACCCTTCAAATATGTGTTGAGTACCCATTGTTCCCAAAAAGGTACATTTTTGTCAGTATGACTTTTATTTGACCTTAGTATCACGTTTCTGCACCTAAGACTATCGAAGTTCTTGGATATTTACGGCCAATTAATGTATAAATTGAGGCGTAACTTTGCTCAAAACTATACTTTTAATACGTAATTGTACTAATAAATTACATATGTATGTTTGTTAAACCAATTAATGTATTTCAGTTGGAAAATTGGTAATATTGCCTGCTCTAGAACCCGTATAATATAAATAACCACTGTATCATATTATTAGTTTCAAACGTAAGGCTACAATCACTTTGAACGAATCAATTTTCGAAAGTATAATCCAGAAGGTCCTGTCCATTTCCATCCAGATGTACCTACAATCCAAGCGTCTGGTATCACAATGGCAGCTGCTGGAGATGCCGTGATCCTCGAGTGCCGAGTGGAAGCCCTGCCTAAACCTACCATCGCATTCTGGAGGGATCCTAATGGCAGAACTCCTGTCATTGATGGCCCTAACTACACTATACAGCTGTTGGCTGATCCTGAGGTAAGTGGGAATAATTCCAGGTCTTTTGATAAACTAGGGTATTGTGAGATATTAACTTTAATTAAAAAATATTCATGCGGTTTACTCAGACAGAAGTAAGATCCCAGTTTGACTTGAAAGTATTTGGGCAACCCTGTAGCATATCGAAAACAGTAATCCAAAAATTAGAAATCTTATTGGATTGGCTATTAACTACGTTTTTATTCTGAATACGATATGGTAATAAGATACGCCGTAAGACGATTGAACAGAAACATTTTGTAAATCTACAAAATCACAACCACAGTATTTCAATTTATTTATACGCTGGCAAAAGTTTCTTGATCCACGTAATAGTATAGAGAGGACGTGTGGAAGTCGTTTTGATCCTTGTTAACAGTTTGTGACCAAGTTTCCAATAGCTACATAGTTCTGCTCGTAAAATGATACAGCCAACGACAGGACGACCGAAACTTCTTGCATCTAAACTTTTCACGCTCACAACTCGAATTTTCGTTTCACGGTTTACGGTGTACGCAATCTTGTTGTTTACTTCAATTACTTGTGGATCTATGTAATACTTGGCAAGTAGCTTTCCATACAACATAACATCACACCGTTTATCTCCGAAGGGGTAGGCAGAGGTGCTGGAGGTGCATATTATACCACTGTACAATG